GTAGTGATACTGCCTCGGAAACCCAAGAAGGGGTCGCTATGAGTTGGGGCCGACTCGACGGCACATAACAACAACAACAACAACAACAGTTACATATGGGAGCTCTAGTGGCGTAGTGCCTAAGGCACTTGACTGCTAACCAGAAGGCTGGCGGTTCAGACACACCAGCCACTCCTCAGAAGGAAGGTTTCACAACCTACTTCTGTAGAGATACCGCATCGGAAACCCAAGGAGGGGTCACTATGAGTTGGAAACGTGTATTATTATATACTGCAGCCAGGCCTCTTTCCTTGTGTTCAGTTTGTCTGGAAACTGTTGAAGTAACTCATTTAAATCAAACTTATATAAATTTGTGAACATATTAATGCCATAAAACCTTCTAAATAGGTCTAAATCACATGTTTCCATTAAATGTCACTGCTAATATAGTAATTTCAAGTGTCACTATTCACATGTTGTTGTTGTTGCTATGTGCCGTCAAGTCAGCCCCGACTCATAGTGACCCCTCCTTGTGTTTCCGAGGCAGTATCACTATGGAAGTAGATTGCCCCATCTGCCTTCCGAGGAGTGGCTGATGGGTATGAACCGCCAGCCTTCTGGTTAGCAGTCAAGTGCCTTAGGCACTATGCTACCAGAGCTCCTTATTCACATAACCAAAACTACTCACTGCCATCAAGTGGATTTTGACTCATAGTGACCCCTCCTTGTGTTTCCGAGGCAGTATCACTATGGAAGTAGATTGCCCCATCTGCCTTCCGAGGAGTGGCTGATGGGTATGAACCGCCAGCCTTCTGGTTAGCAGTCAAGTGCCTTAGGCACTATGCTACCAGAGCTCCTTATTCACATAACAGAAAGGATCAAAATTTTACTTTACAGTAATATCCCATATTTAGAAGTTTCATTTTATTTGATGTAGGTTTGTACTAGCAACCATTAGAAATAGAAGCAAATAATTTAATAGTGATTTATTCATCTTCTTAGCATTTTTAACTAGAAAAACAATTTAAGAAGTTGGTACTTGAACAGATCACTATAATGATCGGAGATTAATCACTGTGCCTGTTTTACATTAAATTAATGATTAAAGCAGAAAGATAAAAGCACTCCCAGCTAAACTCAATTATATACAAACTCCAGAGAGGCTACGTGGAAAACAGTAAAGGTTCTGTCCTTAATCTCTAAATGAAACAACGCCAATTTATGTAAGAATAGAACCTTGATTTGATCAAGGGAAGAGAGCCAATTTTTTTTTTTGCCAGAAAATAAATAATGATAAAAATTGGATACATATCTTGAATAGTTTTGTTCAGCTTATTGTTATTTTTAACAGCATCTACTATATATTTCCTGCCACAGGATAGAGTGCCCCGAGCAGATAATTTACAATATATTTTTATTTGTTATCATCATGTAAAAAAACCTATTCATGTAAAAACTCTGTTTACATTGTTTAAAGTTGATTTATGATCACTGTTAAGGTCTCTGTTTGGATTATATGTATTTAAAATCTGGGTTGACAGATTGTTTGGTTTTGCTTTATTCACTTAACACATTGTATGCACATTTCTGTGTTTTAGTTCTTTATGTATTTATAATACTTTAACGGCTATGGCAGTTTTTCATCCGGACCACTTGGGTTGTTCAGTTTCCCCACATAGAGTATAGTCAGGAACATCTTTGTGTCTATTTGTTGAATTTCATTTTGGTTATTTCCTTGGCATATGTTCCCCAAAGTGGAATTTCCAGGGAAGGAACATGTTCAGTTTAATGCCATTTATTACGTATTTCTATAATTATTTCAAAAAATATTTGGCCAAACTTGCAGAGACTTTAGCAATATAATACCTACGTTTCTGTGGGCCTGCCTTCATTGTTTTATTGTTACTTGCTTTTTGGGGTTTTAAAGTTTGTAGTGCATTGGTCACTATCATTTTACTCTCATTAATTGTTTATCAGCCTACAAACGTGTGTGTGTGTGTGTGTGTGTGTGATTATTTACTCTGATTCTTGTTTCCACTTAATAAATGGATCCTGAAAGAATACAAACACCCATACCCACATATAAAAACACACATGTGCCAGCATAGCTCATAAAAATTTGCTATTTCACGTAAAAATCAATCACATTTTTATATACTTTTCAAAATTCTTCCCAGGATCATATACTTATTCTACATATATTCATATCTTTTCAGCTCTCACTAAAATGTAATCTCTCACTTTTTCAGAGAAACAAAGCTTTTATCATTTGGCTAGATTTATCCCTTATTTGATGACAAGTAAAAAGAACCAAAGCCAAAGGCTTATAACTCACTGCCCTTGAGTTGGGTCTGACTCATAGCGACCCTCCCCCCTTGGGCTTCCGAGGCGGTATCACTACGAAAATAGATTGCCCAGCCTTCCTTCCGAGGAGTGGCTGGTGGGTTTGAACGGCCAGGCTTCTTCTGGTTAGCAGTCCAATGCCTTAGGCACTATGCCACCAGCGCTCCCTTATAAAGTAGTAGATGCCAGATATTTGGTAGGTTCACTCACCGGCTGAGTTGCCCCAGATAATAACCTTGCAACATCCATGATTGAAATTATGGCTCCAGAAAACTACAAGGTACTAGACAATTATTATACTATGTGGTATAGATCTTTCTGAGAAGAGACAAAACTGCAGTCATTGAATTCAAGGATGTTCAGGACACATTTTAAAATCTGGTAGATCAAATCCAGCATGGTTCTGTTTTAAGAAGCATTCTTTGGTATCTTGCCTGTTTATCTTCCAGGTACTGATCCTTTGTAAATTCTTTCATTGAACTCTCTAAGCTCTTGGGAATACAGTCCTGCTATTTACATAACCCTTATTTTTTCAATTCTCAGGGATAGCAGGCTTTGTGACTGTGGTGTCCTATGGTCTTTACAAGTTAAAGTTCAGAAGACATCAGAAAATGTCCATTCATCTTATTCACATGAGAGTTGCTGCACAAGGATTTGTTGTAGGAGCTGTGAGTCTAGGTAACCTGTTTATTTTGTATCTTGTGTCCAACTATCTTTGAGAGTATTTTTTTCTTCATTTACATTAGAATGTGAGTATTTGGTCAAGACTACTTGTTTCGATGAATGAGGTTAGGCAAACAAGGGGAGAGCCTTGGGTAAGTATAATGGGTAAGGAAGAGTACAAATGATATTGATCTTCACTTGTTGGGGTTGCTGTCCAGTTATGGGTTTAATTTCTTAGGATTTTCAGCACTGACTTAAAACCTTCAGCAGAGAATCAGTGTGGTAGGTTCTGTTATCCTGTATAATGAAAAGAGGAGTGACTAGATCCCACCCTATGTCACTCAGCTGAAAGCAATGGTCATAGTTACCACCCCATCTACACAGTTAACAGCAGTGGTCATAGTTTCCAGCCTATAGCACACAGCTAAGAGCAGTAGGCGTAACTGCTGCCCTATATAAGCTAAGAGTTAAGGTGAAACTCTCATCTGTCCACTGGCCATTTGAACAGCAGATGTGCATATGAACGTAGTTTAACTGGGAAGAAGACATTATTAGAGCCCACAAGTGCCCTTGTCCTCCTTTTATTACATGTTTGAGCAATAGGGAATTTTTTTAAAGTGTGTGTGTGTGAATCTATAAATTAAGCAAGACCTATTCAGTCAAATCCAAAGAACAGGTTTAAAATTATCTAGTCAATTCAGGCTAAAACAGATAGTTCTAACAAGTGACACACTATGAGATCTAAATTATCTAATTTTATTCCTCCAGTTAATGAGAAGAAACCACAATGTTCTTAGTTCACTTTATTCTGTGTGGAGCGGAATCAGCCTAAGTGTAGGCCCGGGATCATAGAAGGATAAGCATGGAACCTGCGTGTAGGGAGTTATGTGGTAATTATCTTATTACCCTGAGCTATGAGATGTGAATCTTGAACCAAATACAATGAGGCAAATATAAGTAACTTTGTAGTTACAGTCCTTATTTTCATCATTTAACAAACATTTAATGAGTCCCTGCTATGTACCAGACACTATAGTGGCCTAAGAAATACAAAGCTAATACTCAGTCCCTCAGAGAGTTTAGTTTCGGCTCTTTTGGGAGAGAAACCAAGGACAGAAGAATACAACTATAGTGCTATAAAGTGATAGGTGTTGTGACAGAGAAAGAACAGTTGCTATGGAAGCACAAAGGAAGGACATTTAAGCAGGACTGGGTCAGGGGAAAGGAGCTGTGGTGGTTCAGTGGTTAAGGCATTTGACTGTTAACCAGAGGGTCAGTGGTTCAAACCCACCAGCTTCTCTGTAGGAGGGAGATGAGGCAACCTACTTTTATAAAGATTTGCAGCCTTGGAAACCCAAGAGAGTCACTATGAGTCAGAACCGGCTTGATGGCAGTGAGTTTGTTTTTCGTTTTTTTAGGTCAGGGGAGGCTTCTCTAAGGAGATAAAGTGTGATGAGTCAAAGACATGGAGGAATTAGCTAGGCCGAGAAGGAGATCAGGATTTTAGGAAGAAAAAGTACAGACATGGAAGCATGGCGTGTTAGTGGAACTCTATATAGCTTAATATGGGGGATGGACCAGTCAGGGTTTGATCAGAGAAGCAGAACTCCTAGAGGTAAGATATAATAAAGGATTTTATTATAAGTATTTGACCTTATGCGATTGTGAGGCTCTTACTTATAAGTCTGCAGCTGGGGCCTGAAGTGGGCAGGGCAAGCAAATAGGAAGGGAAGACGGATGGATGCAAAGAAGGGGCATAATGACAATGAAGAGCCCGCAGGGATGAGCTGGAGCCCACAGTGACGGACGAGAATCCTCGCGGGTCTCTCACCATCTTCAAGCCTCCACATTCAGTGCTGAGAGTGACCTACAGCAGCTGATACCACTGTCAACCACTCAGAAAGGGATCAGTGCAGGAGATCCCAGACACAGTGGGAGAACAATGTGGAACAAAACTCAAAATCATAAAAAAAAAAAAAAAGCTCAGGTTTACTGCTCTGATAGAGCCTGGTGAAGCCCCTGAGACTATGGCCCCTATGTGCCATTCAGGTCTAGAATTTAACTTACCTCTGTGGCTTCCAACCAAGCAATAGACAAGCATATAGGGTGAACATTTACATGAAGTAGATACACTCCTGTGGTGGTTCAGTTTATGTGTCAACTTGCCTGGGCCTGGTTGAGTTGCTGGGCAGCTGGAGGTAGTATTCCCCATGATAAGACTGATAATCAACTCCATGGTAGAATCTACTGTGAGCAGCTGACTAGCTGCTTCTGGGTATGTGGTCTGCTTCCCATATATAAGTAGTAGTTTTGGGAATAGTCTCTAGCTTATGGCACACTTGGACCCTGCATGTAGCCGTGTCATTGTTCAGCAGCCTGCCATGCTCTGCCGACCTTGGGACTTACAATGAACTTGAATTAATGGCCTGCCGTGTGCTTTGGTAACATCAGGACTGTGCCTTTTTACTTGTCAACCTTGGGCTTCTCAGCCTCAGCAGCCAGTGGCTGTCTGAATGAAGAAACGCCCCTAGCTCCAGTGGGCCAGGAGCAGGAGGCAGAGCTGGACCCCAAGGTTGAGGGGCTTTCACACAGCACCTACAGCCTGGCACTTTGAACTTGGACTTAAAGCCCCAAACTGTAAAAGAATAAACTCCTATTTGTTAAGGCCATCCCATTTGTGGTATACTCTTTCCAGAGCAGTACTAGGTAACCAGAACAACTCCTTAGAACGATCTATCGTGGGAGAACAGAAGGGCAGTATTTGCACAGGGAGATAGCTCAGGGGGCAGGAATGCACAGGAAAGAAGGACACAGGGAAGAGGTAACTACAGGGAGGAAGTGGGAAGAGAGCTCTTACATTGTAGGGACTTACAATCGATGTCATGAAATAAAATATGTATGAACAGCCATATGGAAAATGAACTTGCTCTATAAAATTTCACCCAAATGACAATAAAAATTAAAAATAAAAAGAAGCTGATGCCTTTCATCCAGGAACTCCATATGAACCTGGCCAAAGAGTCAGAGAAGGTGAAGGAGCAAATTCAGCAGGAGCCTTAGGGGCTGTGGGCCTGGTTGCTGCCCCATGTTAACCAAGTGAGACAGCGGATAAGCAAAACTGCTTCAACTGTGCCTCCCAAGTGTAAAAATAATTTGACTGCTGCTTCACTTCTGCCTGCTAGATCTCATGTGCACTAACACAGGGAATAAAGAGAAAGGAATTCTGAAAAATGAAGTTACAGCTTAGGGAAGCTGACACAATACAAATTCACCATTGTCCTAAAACATCTGGACTAGCAGAGCCCAAAGGTGTAGAAATGGGAAGCAAAAATTTCACAAGGGCATCAGTGGGAGTATAGTGAGAGGAGCCATTCCCACACATACATACTCCTTGATTCCCAGACCTGTGAATCCTCATTATGGGAAAAAAGAGATCACATATTGGTCACTGACTTACTGTATACCAGAGAGCATTACCCCTGCCTTGCAAGATACCACTCAGCTGGCACTGTAATTAAGTCTAAAAAAAACCATTACGCATAGAATTCTAAATGTGGAGGTTGGTATGTTGGCAAATGTTTGTTGTGTATATTTTCACTACAATAATTAAAAAAAAAAAAAAAAGCAAGCCATTCCACAATTCTATCAGACCATCTGCTCAGGGTGATGCAGAACATGGAAAGACCAGTGGATTCCATAGCATGGGCCCATTGCTGCACTTCATTTGCTATAAATGCAATCCTTGGTCATAAGCAATCATCTGTGGGAAACTATAACAGTGAATAAAGGTCTTCTGTAAGCCCATGGATGGTGGTTTTGACAGAAGCACTGCAGTCAAGGAAGGCAAATCAGCATCTAGAGTGTCTATTCCAATGAGAACAAAGTGCTACCCCTTCCATAATGGAAGCGGTCTTACGTAATCAACCTTCCACCAGGTAGCTAGGTGATTTCCCCAAGGAATGGTGTTATACTGAGGACTATTGGCAAAATGGGCAGCAGTGGCTATAGCCAGACTGGCTGTGGTGAGTGGATTTTTTTT